AGTTACTTGTAACAGAAGGGTTTATGCCTTTAATTTTAACTCCAAATCAAAATTTTTAAGGTAATTGATACCAATTCAATCATGTTTTTATTGATACTTTTTGGTCTTTCATATTCTCCTCTTTTTTCATCTAAAAAAAAAAAAATGATAATTAGTGCATCTTTACTGGTTGTGGTTATTATGATTTTGTTAATTAATAAACATTAGTTATATTTTTAATTATTAATTAAAAACTATAATTATTGACTATTTTTAATAAATAAATCAAATAAAATTAATATTTTAAAATAAATATTAAAAAAAAAATCTTTATATTTCCAACACTTTAGTACATGACAATAACCACGCTCATCATTTACCATTGAGAATTGTTAATGAACTAAAGTTTGAACTTTTTTTTTTCTTTTGGTGGAAAACTAAAGTTTGATTTTGACCAAGTAGCTTAGCTTACTGGGAAAGTAGAAGTGTAGAACCACCACTATTTTTAACTTGTGACTGCAAAAAAGAGCTAAAATACTGTTGCTTTCTCAGTTTTCAAGACTATGGTACTTTTTTTTCTATGGTACTTTGTAGTCCTTTCGGGGTCAAATCCCCATGCATCTTCGTGCTTAAGAACTTGTTCTTGTGGAAGGAACAAAGCGGGAAGAAAACTTTATTCTGAATAAGTGCATAGAATGTTTTTGCTGGAATCCATTGAAAGGTTAATCTTCTTTTAACTCACCCTTTGTTTTATGTATGATATGCCGATACTGGTACAGCCTCCGGAGTGGATGTGTCCGGTTGAAATTTTGTAAAGGATGGTTTTATCTTTATTCATGCAGGTGGTGAAAATTAGACTGCAGCAGCAGAAAGGATTGAGTCCAGATCTTCTGAAGTACAAAGGTCCTATACATTGTGCACGTATGATCACTCGTGAGGAAGGCCTTCTGGGACTCTGGGCTGGGGCTGCTCCAACTGTTATGCGTAATGGGACAAACCAGGCTGCAATGTTTACTGCTAAGAATGCTTTTGATGTGCTCTTGTGGAAGAAACATGAAGGTGATGGGAAAGTCCTTCAACCATGGCAGTCTATGATATCAGGATTCCTTGCTGGAACAGCAGGTCCAGTGTGTACGGGGCCCTTTGATGTTGTGAAAACAAGATTGATGGCTCAAAGTCGACATGGAGGTGAACTGAAATACAAAGGCATGGTCCATGCTATCAGAACAATATATGCCGAAGAAGGGCTTCTTGCCTTGTGGAAAGGACTGTTGCCTCGGCTCATGAGGATACCGCCTGGGCAAGCAATTATGTGGGCTGTGGCTGACCAAGTGATTGGTCTTTATGAGAGAAAATATTTTCATATCGCACCTTTGTAGGTACCATTTGCATTTTTTTTGCTTGTTCTGGTCTTTAGTTCCATTGCAAGCGTAAAATCATTGATAATTTCAATTCTTCTTCCTTTCATTGTTTTTGATGTCGATTACTTTTAAAGAACATGGGAACAATTCTTGAGGTATTTTCTTAGTTTTTTATTTCTCAAGTTTGCATGTTGCTGCACCACATTCTTCAGAAGCAACAAGTAGAAGGGGGTTATGTTCAGCCGTTGTTGGTTCTTGAAGACTAAATGTGTTTAGGATTGTTGATCCGTATCCATATTTACATTGTCTTTTAATCAGGAGAAGTCAATTTATTTCCGTTTCTTTTTATTGGTGGAGTCAATCTATTGTGTTGCATTTTCTGCAAAAGTAAACACCAAGAGAAACAGCAAGTATTGAATCCATCTTGATCTATGGCATTAGCGGCGCTTATCGCAGCCTGGTTCAGACGACACTGGCACCAGTGAGGCTCTGGTATCCTGTTGACACCTGAGCCTTTACAACCTAAAACACACTGCAGAAACGAAGCTGAGCTGATATGGAATTGTACCCTTGCATAAAAGAAATTGGTGTTTCAATTATTAACAGCTCAAGATTTAAAGTTAGAAGGTCAAGTTGAGAAGAAATTTAGAAAAAGAGAATGCGATTCTGTTACATTATGGAATATCATATTTAGCCCCCCCATAAAAGTCAAAGTTGGATTTTAGCTGTGGACTATGAATGTGGTTATAGCCTCCACGTTTATCAAAATTTTGTTAAAAAAAAATTAATTTTGTTTAATTTGATTGTTAAAAATAATTAATAATTATTATTTAATAATTAAAATTAATTTAAAAACTAATATATTTATATATTAATTAAATTAAATATAAATTTAATAATTCCGACAAAATAATTGATAGCCATGACTACATCCTTAGAGTATTGTTCTGATTCCTCAGATTGTATAGAATAAGAACTTAACCTTAAGCCGATGAACAAAAACTTCAGGGGCAAAAAAGCAAGATAAAAATTAGTTCAGGGGCGACGCAAAGCATTTTTCCACCAGGAGAATGCACCGAAAATTCTTTTCTAAAAAAAAAAAGAATGCACCGAAAATTCATATATAAACAAACGCTGCCGTGAGGACCGTAACCCTAGCTCTCGAGTGAGTCACCGCTTATTTTTCACATCCATCTTCGCGGCTCTGCTAAACCCTAGCTCCCAGCTAAGCTTCCGTCGCCGCCGCCGATTTACACTTGTCAGTCTTCTACTTTAATAGAAACATCTCCTTTCTAATTCATCTCCTTTCTCTGGTAGTTCTGTAATCTGATTTTTGGATACCGATTTTCTGGTTCTCAGGCGTTGCGAGGTTTCTCAAACCTGCAAAACAATGTCGGACGACGAACAAGAGGAGAGGGAGTTGGATCTCACCTCTCCTGAAGTCGTCACCAAATACAAGAGTGCAGCCGAGATTGTTAACAGTTATTCTCTTTTCTTCTCTCTTAATACATGCTCATGTATCTTGTTTTAGTGGAATTCGGCTTTATATTTGTCCCTTTTTTCTTTTGAGGTGCCTGGTTTGATATTAGTAAAATTTGCAGAGGCGTTGCAGTTAGTCATAAAAGAATGCAAGCCAAAAGCTAAGGTTGTTGACCTTTGTGAGCAGGGCGACTCTTATATCAGAGAGTAAGTTCTTGAAATCTTCTCGGATTTGATAGAATAGATACTCAGGATTTTTTAGACTTTGATGATGATGTACCTCTTTGTTTATTTATTATTTTATTTTATTTTATTTTATTTTATTTATTTATATATTTTTGTTTTTACTCTGCTAATGAAGGCAAACTGGCAACATGTACAAGAATGTGAAGCGGAAGATTGAAAGGGGTGTTGCTTTTCCCACTTGCATATCTGTAAACAATACTGTCTCCCATTTCTCTCCGCTTGCCAGTGATGAGTCTGTTTTGGAAGAAGGTGATATAGTGAAAATGTAAGCTTCTCTGTGAATCTTGTGTGTGTTAGATTGAATCCTTTGATTTAGTCTGGTGGACTGATGAATGCTAAATCAAAGTGGGTGTTTTTTGTTGGTACAGTGATATGGGGTGTCACATTGATGGTTTCATTGCTGTGGTTGCGCACACCCATGTTCTTCAGGATGGGCCAATAACTGGGAGGAAGGCTGATGTTATTGCTGCAGCAAATACTGCTGCTGAAGTTGCCTTGAGGCTTGTGAGGCCGGGAAAGAAGGTACTTTCCATATGGTTGAACTTTTCAATTATACAATTCTAACTGAATATAAATAAACATTACTGAATGGTCTAGAGGTACTATCATCTTTGATTGTGTTCTGTTAATTCCCTAAACTTTTAAGCTCCCTAGTGTTTCTTTTATGCATCTTGGCAATTATCATGTATTTTTGTTCAAGATTGCATTTTTTATACTCTCATCTTCTAGAGGCTGTTCTGATCCTAACTTCCCCTAAATGATGAACCTTTTTTGTTAGCTATGGATCGACATCTAAATGAAGCTTTTGTCATAGTTACTCTGATAGGGGAACTCAATAGTTGTTTGCAACTTTCCTTTAAGGTCTTTTAGAATGCTGTTAAGTGTGTTGTAAGATGAAAATGAAAAGGCAACTTTGCCGAGGTGATCAATTGCTTGCTGATTTCCTCTTTTCCCTGTTGCCAATAGTGAATTTGGCATGCTAGGCTGCTTTCTTGGAAATACCATTTGGTTTTTTCCCACTGCCTAAATCACCAACATCTTCTTAGTCTCACTATGCACAATGTAGAAGTGAAGGCTTGTCTTTGACAGATGGATCATCATTGCCTTTTGAATAGATAGCCTCTTATTCTTCTTGGAAAATAATTTTCATGATTTTTTGAAGTGTCTCTAGGTTCTTACTTTCCCTATATGATGAATATTCTCCAAAAGCTATGGACCAACATCCAAATGAGGCTTTTGTCATAGTTACTCTGATCGTGCAGCATGTTTGATTTTTTGTTTTTTCTTTTAGAGATTACCGAATGTGAATTCTGCCTTTCTCCTGTTCACTCTCTTTCCTTGGTCAGTTTCTATGGAAGTTTGTTTGTCTTGACTTTGCTTTCTTTCAGTTGTTTCAACCAATTGGTTAATTACATCTCCTTTTTGGTAGAACAAAGACGTTACAGATGCAATTCAGAAAGTGGCTGCTGCTTATGACTGTAAAATTGTTGAAGGTGTTCTTAGCCACCAACTGAAGCAGTTTGTGATTGATGGAAACAAGGTCATATTGAGTGTTGCTGGTCCAGAAACGAGAGTTGATGATGCAGAATTTGAGGAGAATGAAGTTTATGCTATAGATATTGTCACAAGCACAGGTGATGGCAAGGTAATTGTTTGGTTTGTTGTACTTGGTTGCCATCTTTTTGGTTTATTACATGAATGCCTTAGGATTGATTTTGAATTTGCAGCCCAAGCTGTTAGATGAGAAGCAAACAACTATTTATAAGAGAGCTGTTGACAAGAATTATCATTTAAAGATGAAGGCTTCTAGATTTATTTTTAGCGAAATAAACCAGAAATTTCCCATCATGCCCTTCACTGCAAGGTAAGTATTTTTTAACATATGTTATAAAATCATAGTCTGTTATGTTTCTGTCTAATGAGTTATATCTTTGTGGCAGGGCTTTGGATGAGAAAAGGGCTCGTCTGGGATTAGTTGAATGTGTAAATCATGATCTCTTGCAGCCATATCCTGTCCTTCATGAAAAGCCAGGTAAGAATTAGTTGCATTATCTTTTCTGGTGACCATGAGAGATTAATTTAGTGGTGCTTTCTCATGCTATCAAGTCGACTCATTTTCTTTGGTAATCTTTCAGGTGATTTCGTTGCTCATATTAAATTCACCGTCTTGCTGATGCCAAATGGATCAGATCGGATCACATCACACCCTCTGCAGGAGCAGCAGCCAACCAAGACAATAGATGATCCTGAAATCAAAGCTTGGTTAGCTTTGGGCACTAAGACAAAGAAGAAAGGTGGTGGGAAGAAGAAGAAAGGTAAACTTGATAGAATTTTTTTGAAAAAAGAAGTTGAGTTTTGTATTGGCAGTTCAAACCTTTCATTTTATTATCTGATTTTCACAATATTTCTGCAGCCAAGAAGGGTGAGAGAACTGAAGAATCTACAGAAGCTGAGCCCATGGATGCAACCACAAATGGTGCTGAATCCCAAGAATGATTTCCAAATTTACTTCTTCTCAGTTTCAATTTTGCTACTCCTTTAGACCCCGGTATCTTGTTGGCTGAGCTATATTTAATACAGCTTCAGACATTGATCCCAAACAAATCTTTCCTGTAACCTTCTCTTATTTGGGCATTTGTTGAGTATTTAAGTATATTTATAAACTAAAATTAATAACCTATTGGAATGTTGTGAATGTTGGATTGGTTGGTATGGAAATTTGAGCAATACTAGGGGCACTCGCTTTTGGCACTCTCCGGTCAGCACTTTCTCTTTTATTGGGCCACGTTATCTTGGTTCCCGAGAAGTTGCGCTGAAAGCTTTAAAGAAGCTTACGTGGCCCAATGAAAGGGGAAGTGTTGGCCGGAGAGTGAGAAAAGCGATTGCCCCTAGCATTGCTCTGGAAATTTTGATCGAGTGGGACCAAAACTGTTTGTTATGTATCCACTTGATTGGTACATGGTACTTGATATCAAACCTTCTCTAGTATATATTTTAGGAGTTTTATGTTTTTTGATATTGTCAATGAGAAAGTATTATTATCCTAAGGACGTAAATTTATTTTTCAAAAAAAATGAGCTGCTAAGAAGGGTAATTTTTTAATATAATTATTTTATATAATTTTTATATATAATTATTTTATGTAATTTTTATATATTATTAAACAAGTAAATATAATGTGTATAAAAAAAAGTGAATATAATTAATATTATGAGTTTTAAATGTATAAAAAATAAAAATATTTAAAAAA